TTAGTGTACCGCAACAGGTACGCTAAGATTTTCGTTGTGCTCCGGAACAGTAACGCTAAAAATATTTTTAGTGTTTGTGTACCGGTACAGTACGTTATTTTAGTGTACCTATCCACCTTGGTACGGTACAGAACACTATGGAAGGGTACCATAATGTTTATTTTCGAACGCGGCCCCCTGGGGGCAGTTTTGAACACTTTGACTTCCTCAAAACAGCAATAAAATATTTATATCAAACTTAAAGTATGTCATATGTATATTCATTGTAAAGGTTACATATGTACCTATTATTTAAAATTTATAAGAAACAAAAAATTATAAAATAAAAAAAATTATGGGGCTTGAAAGAAAAAAGTGTTCAAAGGTGCCCCTCTCCCCTACAATAAAATCTATCTATCTATATATAAAAATGAATTGCTGTTCGTTAGTCTCGCTAAAACTCGAGAACGGTTGAACGGATTTTTCTTATCGTAGTCTTGAAATGTTCGTGGAGCTCCAGGAAAAGTTTAAAGATTTGAAAATCGCGAAAAATTTGCAAAAAAATATTATGAAGCCTATTTGCATTTTCATTGCCCTGCGACGTAGTTGTTTTTTTGAAATATTTTGTTCGAAAATTGGCCGCGTATCATTTGTCAAATATTGAACATATTCAAAATATTATTTTTTAAGCTTTGAAATTTTGAACATACAATGCTATTACTGCAAGGATTTTTGGTATTGAAAATGGGATATATCGGTAAACCAGTACAATACACATGTATAATAGGCATGTGAAGGATATACCAAAACCTTCGTAAAAAAAATATATATATATTATATTATAGGGACTCATGTCAAGTTCCCATATGAAATGGGGACATCTACTAAAAAACGTCGTTAAGTTAGACCGGGCAAAACTTTTATACCAGTAGTCATTTGGGTCTTGGGTAGCACAATATGGAGGCTATCCTAAAAAATAATCTGATATTGATAACATTTGGTAATGAGAATTGTTACCCAATGAGGGATATTTAAAAAAGTGAACCAATACTCATCATTTTTGATAGAAAGGTTTGTTATCATATAATATTAAATTATAGCCGAATTACCAAACACCCCAAAATACGAATATATAATAGGGATTACAGTTATACTGAGGCTATCATAAAAAGTGGGTCGATTCGGCCTTTTTTGTAGTGAAATTTGCTAAAGATTCGCTATAAATCGAAACCCAAAAAATACCAAATAACAGCCAATTTGATTGAAAACGCGCCCAACATCCCCCGATATATCCAATTTTCATTACCAAACTTTCAATCAAATTGCTATCTTAAATATTGCGATCACTGATGTAATTTCGAGGTCTCCAGTGTTGCAAAAGACAATTTCCACATAACATTTGGCTACCGTTATGTGGAATAAACGTATTGGGAAATAATCTAATGAAATCCGAATCCTAAACGACGACAATTCCGGCTATTCATGCCTATTTAAATGTATTTGCCATGAATTCAATTATTACAAAAATTATATCCACCGACATTTTAATGGTCAATTGCACTGCTATAACTCAAGAATAAAAATCGTAAAAAATCTACACCAAAAATGTTCATAGATATTTGTTACACTGAAAAATTGTTTATACAAGTATGAATAAAAATTGAAAAATAAATCTAAAATACCGAAAATTATTGCTAAGGCAATACAACGTTTGCCGGGACCGCTAGTCGTTATATACATTTAAATTCTCTATAGTTGTTATTTATTACATACATTACTGATTATTGCATACATTACAGATTTGACATTCATTAGATTTTCAGAACACACATCAGGAATATATAAAATTCTATCTTCCCAAATGTACGATTTAGTATCATCCATGTTCAAATGTAACCATGCAAAGGAAATATTATAAAACCAATAATACCATATCTCCGCTTTATATAGCATTTAATAACGTGATCACTAGACCTCGGATTTTGCATATTTTTATGATTTATCCGATTGGACTCAAATTTTGTATATAGGCGTTTCATGCCCCAATTGATCGATATTTGGAGTCGTGATAAAAATATGCAAAATAATATTTTTTGCATATATTTTGCATATTTATTGCATATCGACCTAGCATACCGTGCATATTTTTTCATATATTTTGCATATTTATTGCATATTGACCTAGCATACCGTGCATATTTTGCATATTTTTGGCTATATTTTGCATATTTATTGCATATCGACCTAGCATACCGTGCATATTCTGCTTATTTTTGCATATCTTTTGCTATTTATCGCATATCGACCTAGCATACCGTGCATATTTTTGCATATTTTTTGCATAGATATCAGAATTTCGATATATTCATTATTAAAAAATATGCAAAATCCGAGGTCTAGTAATCACCAAAAAACGTTCATAACTTTTAGGGCCGCAAGACTCCGTAGATGAATTTTTTACACCAGAAATACACAGGTGTCCCAACTCAAATAAAATAAATTAGGGCGATACTTTTTTCCACCCTAATAGTTTCAAATTTGTTTTAAAAATTAGGTTAACTGCATATAGCTATACAGGTGTGGACAACTGTAAACACAGTATGATCTCTATAAGCGATAAACTCAGTAACAAAATTTATAATTATATGCTTGATCACTCTATGATACAGGATATCATGTTTTTGTGCATATGTTTGTAACAAGCAAAATAAAACGAGATAGATCCATGGAATCGTTTTCTGTTTGTCCATCTAAAATTTAGACAAAGAACAGTACGCATTTATTATCTGAATTCGATGAAGTTTGGCACAGCCCACTTATTTGACCCAATGATGAACTCTATTGAATTTGGAGAAAATCGGTTCAGAGTTAGATATAGCTCTCATTTATAACTTTGTCCTATTCTACAATAGCTTACCCAAGTCACAATTTTTGTACGATTGAAACACAATTTTGCACAGCGCGCTGAATTGAGCATAGGTTGATGTATGTGATGTATAAATCGGTTCAGATTTAAATATAGCTTCCATATATATTTTTGTCGGATTTTAGGTAAATGATGCAATAAACTCTCCACGTTTAAAACAGACTGCTTCATGCCGACCAATTTCGATAATTTCCCCGATTTTATCGACATTTTCGACGACCGGCCAACCTGTGCGAGGGGCGTCTCGAGGGGCATCAAAAATTCCTGAAGGGAATCTACAAAACCAAAATTGCACATACTCGTATCGGAACCATAAACACCATTCACAATTTTAGCCGCTTGGGTTGCATTTTCGTCTTTGTCAAAGAAAAACTGTAAAATGTACCGAATTTTCTCTTTGTTCTCTTCCATTTTTAACACCCTGTAACTCCCATCTGAATGCACCAAACAAAAAACAGCTAAACAATTTTTTTGCGGCGAAATGTCACCCTTCCAACGAGCATAAATCTGAAATTGTTTGATCGATACTTTACGAGAAATCTATGAGTAAGCCATCTGCCGACCTAATATATATTCGTCCGATCGTGCGAATTGTGCACCGAAGAGACTATCTTTGTGATACAACTCCCATATATTTTCGTCCGATTTTATGTAAATAATGAACCGAAGAGAATTTGGTCTTCGATATACACGAAATTTGTTCAGCGTATTGAACTGCGTATTAACTGTGTTAAGTTTTGCTAAAATCGGTTCAGAATAACATGTATTAAATTTTGTAAAATATGTTCAGATGTAGATATAACCCTTGTATATCTTCGTTTGAGTTCAAGCAAATTGTACTCTGATCGAGAGCGCACTGTGCTACAGAATACAAAATAGTGTATGTAACTTTTTCTTAAATCGGTCCAGATTTACATTCTGCTTCATTGCATACAATGGTCCAAGTCTGTTCAATTTTCACAAATTTCAGAATGATATGTGTTAATTTCGTCCGATTCCATTCTATTCTATCAGCATATTGCACATACGAGCATCTCTTGTATGTACCCAAAGTGGTGTAGGGTATCATATTGTCGGTCGGAAGGAAACTAATACCTGGAAAATTAACTCATGTAAAATGTACTTTGTATTCATACCAAAACGGTGTGTTATTCCAAATAATGCACCTTCTAATTTATTAATCCTTATGTTTATATCGATGAAAAAGGTTATTTAAAAATATTGAATGAGGGATTGCAAAAATTAATTTATTATTATTTAATTCAACCTATAATAACTTAATAATGTACCTTTTCGAAAAAAATCAAATTGTATTACAACTTTCTTCTAGAAGAAAATGCTCTTTTGGGAAGGAATCATGACGTTTCATCGTTACATTGTCGCCTCTAGATGTCCTATAATGGCATAATTATACAAGGAGGACTAATTTAACATAGTATTCCCATTTGATCATAACTTTGCATTTGACAACATGTAGCTTTCAAAACTAAAATGTGAAAATATCCATTCGAAATATACGCACAACACGTGTTCAGTGGCCATAATTGCAAAAATATTATTATTGTTGAAATATTTTGAAGTCCCCACACCCATATATCTGAGTCTTAAAAAAAATTTAAATATTTATTACATTGAATTTGTTATTGTCCACATTTGAATTGACCACTAAGTGCAAATGGTATCCCAAATAACCCGCCAACACTATTGAAGTTGAGACGCAGGCACGGTCAATATATTTCGTTTATTGCTGTAACTAGCAATGCCGACGTCGTTATGTGCATTCGTCGCAAAGCGTCAGAAAATTCATTGTTAACCACTAAGTAAGGTAAGCTGACATTTGAATAGCATCTGAGGAAATACTGCTAACAAAACACTAAGGGAATTGATGAATTCCGAAACTATAGTTTCCTGCCTTATGCCTGTCTATTTGGCAATAACAAAATAAAAATAATTTTGATAAAAATTACTTTTTTCCAATAACTTTATTTCAAACTAATGGACTTAAACTAAGTTTAACATAATGAATAATGAAGATAATTATATATGTGAATGATTAGACCACTACTAACAGCAGCAATGCAGAAAATAATTTATTTTATCCGAAGTACCCCCCAATTGAAGATGCAGTTGAAGAGGCATAGTTCACAACATTTGAGTAAAATGTTCCTAAAAGAAATAACAAGTCCAAAACACTATGTTATACGAATATAATAATTGGATAATAAAAAAATTACGTGAAACCTACTCATTGTGTTCCCATAATAGGGATATGCTCCGCCATAATATGGATAACTTCCACCCCCTCCACAACTACAACAGACGCTGGTGAAGCATGGATAACCGTTACCGTATATGGGATATTGTGGATAGTAGCACGGTCTAGGGTATCCACCACATCCGCCACCGGGCATACCTCCTCCACCACCAGGCATTCCACCTCCACCACCGGGCATACCGCCTACGCCGTAATTGGGATAGTATGGATAATAGCCCATGCCACCCATACCGCCACCATATTGCGCTTTAACTTCATTGGCAAAAACAAATGCTGTACACACAATAAAAACTTTTAACTTTGGAATGATGATCATGTTTTGGTTGGATTTTGTTTTTGCTGTTCTAAATCCGCTGGTAAATCTAAACTTGTACTGAAAAACGTTGAAACCGCTCTTTTTATATCGATATTCCGTCATTTTCATTGTCATGATCATTGACTTTCATTCAATGTCAATGGTCAATGTATTGTGGAATTCTGGATACTATTAGTTCGATAAGAATCTGTTGTTTACCAATATGAAATTGATTTGAATAGTTGGTATAACCGTATAACATAAAACAGTAACAAGCAAAAGTGAATATCTTCTATTGGTACAATGTTGTTTGTTAAATACGTATAATCGAAAGATGACGATCCCTTGACGCTCTACGCAACTATACATGTAGCGCTTAAAATTTTCGGGTATATTAGTGCAATCGAAATCCGTTATTTTTTTAAGTTCTGAGTAAATTTAATGTAGTCTGACGATAAAAGGCCCTTAACACTACATTGCCGAAGGCGGTCATTTTGACCGTTTTTCAATTTCAAGTACAAAACCAGTAAGGAAAGTAGTAAAGTCGGACGGGACCGACTATGTGATACCCTTCACCACTTTGGCTATATTCAACAGATGAATCCTAACAGACGTTGATGGACCATAAACACGAAAATGGATCCATAAACATGTCATTCTGCAACCTATACTAAATTTTTCATTTGGTCAGATATAGAATTGCTATAGATATATATAATGTGAACCGATTTCAATGAGATTAACTTATATTAACTACAGTTTATTGTACAAAATTGTGTGACAATCGGACAAACTTTGGGTCTTTAGTGGACAATTTACATAAAATCGGAAGAAAAGATATATAGGAGCTATATCTAAATCTGAACCAATTTTCACGACACTTAACACACATCATTCTAGACCAGGGATGGAAAATGAAAAATGTGAAAAGGTACCAAAAGAGTACTTTTTTTAATAAAATAGTACTTTTTTCAAGAAAATACAGAAAAAAAAACATTTTATTTAGTTTCATAAAGATCGATTTTCATGATATCACTTAGTGTATCTTTCTGATGGTAATAATATGAGAATTATTGTTTCTTTCGATTGTATTTGAATATGTATGCTATAGACTAATTTTAGTTGCACTACCTCTTTCTCGAAAGCTAATAAACCCCAAACTATCATGAATTTCAGTTCCAAACTGCTCTTGAAATTATTGAAGTAATCACGACTACTAGGAATGTTATCAATTTGCCTACCTCAGGACATAGAACAGAGTATGCCAAATTGAGTATGTTTGTAAGATACCATTTAAAAAAATTGGAACTCATAATTAATGTTTGTAATTTTAATCATAACTGAACAGTTATCATTCGTAAACCTGTTCATTTTTTCAACAGAAATATTGCAATCACATCAATATCTTTATCTGCATAATTTTGTCGGTCAAATCCATAACAAATTTTTATCCACCTTGGTTTAATGAAGGATTGGAATGGTACTGAAATGGTCACGGGGGTACTACGGTACTTTTTTGGGTAAAAAGGTACTGAAAAAAGTACTATTGTACTGAATTTTCCATCCCTGTTCCAGACCTAATTCATTGTGCTATGCCGTGCAAATCGAAAGATATATATTGACTTTGGTGCACCATTTCCATTAAATCGGAGGAAAATATATATGGCATCTATATCTAAATCTAAATCATTACGCTATGCCAAATTTCGTACAAATCGAAATATATAGGGACTCTGATACACCATTTATATTAAATCGGACGAAAATATATATGTGAGCTATATCTAAACCTGGACCGATTTTCAGAAAACTTAACACACATCATTCTAGAACAAATTAAGTACGCTGTACCAAATTTCGTTCAAATCGAAAGATATATAGGGACTTTGGTACACCATTTACATTAAATCGGACGAAAATATATATGGGAGCTATATCTAAATCTGGACCGATTTTCAGGAAACTTGACACACATCCGTCTAGACCTAATTCATTACGCTATGCCAAATTTCGGGCAAATCGAAAGATATATAGGGACTTTGGTACACCATTTACATTAAATCGGACGAAAATATATATGGGAGCTATATCTAAATCTGGAGGGTTACTCTGTATTGCGTTGCGAAAGCAAGTGCGATAGCTAAATGCGTTAAGAGTTCAATTTGGTACTCTGTATCGCTCACGCAAACGCATTCGCAAACTAAAACGTAAATTGGGCAATACTGTCACCACAAAGTAAACAATAACGAAGAATGACAAAAGGAAACGTCAAAAATTGTAAATAAAAACATATTTTTGTGTGGTACGAGTGTTCTTTAAAAAACAAAAATGATGAACGAATTAACAAAAAAGAATTTTAAGACAAATATACTCTCCCCAAGTGACCACGGGTATGAAAATAGAAGTACGAATTATGTGACAAACGTTTTCAAATATTTAATTTTTATAGATTTATATACACAATTTAGTCTGCAAATATTTTTTGTATTATCCCTAAAATAATTAATTTAGATATAAATAAAACCTTTAATTGTGCTTACTTACATGTTTCGCATCCTTTGCGTTTGCTATTTTGTTAACGCAAGATATTTGCGTTTAACGAACGAGTTTGACATGCGTTTTCGTATTACAGAGTTCGGTGATGCCACATTTGCGTAAAGTAGATGCGAAAGGAGATACGAAAACGAATTAGAGAGTACCAATTATGCGATGCGGTACAATTTTTCTTACGCATCGCAATACAGAGTAACCCCCCTGGACCGATTTTCAGGAAACTTCACCTACATCATTAAATCGGACGAACATATATATGGGAGCTATATCTAAATCTGGACCGATTTTCAGGATACTTAACACACATCATTTTTGACCTAATTCATTACGCTATGCCAAATTTCGTGCAAATCGAAAGATATATAGGGACTTTGGTACACCATCTACATTAAATCGGACGAAAAAATATATGGGAGCTATATCTAAATCTGGACCGATTTTCAGGAAACTTCACACACATCATTCTAGACCTAATTCAGTACGCTGTGCCAAATTTCGTGCAAACCGAAAGATATATAGGGACTTTGATACACCATTTACATTAAATCGGATGAAAATATTTATGGGAGCTTTATCTAAATCTGAACCTATTTCTCTCAATTTCAATAGTGTTTGTCCTAGGTCCAAACAAGTGACATATGCCAAATATGATCTAATTCGGATAATAAATACGACCTGTACTTTGTTTACAATTTAACATAGACAGACGGACATCCGTAAATCGACTCAGAAAGTGATTCTATGCATATTCTCAAAAGGAACCATGTGTCTATCTCGTTTTCTTTTGCCTGTTACAAACATATGCACAAAGACATAATACCCTGTACCACAGTGTGGTGAAGGGGACTCTGATAGGTTGTTGACAAAGAATGTGAAATCAATTTGCCAAAAAATAAAGAAATAACTCATGAACATTTTCTTGTGATAGTTTTTTCATAACTTTTGAGGTGACTTATTGCGATGAAGCACCATCCTACAACATTGCGTATGATCTCTGGTATTGAGGCGACATTCCCGCTTGAGCAACATAATTTTTGAATAGGAACCATTTGAAGCCGGTTGAAAACAGTCAAATATACGACATTTGATATGGGTCTTTGATCAATGTCGAGACCATGAGATGGATATTGAAAATACCTTAATCAGGCCTCCCAGGAGAAAAATAAATACTAAATACTAAACAACAGGCGTAGGGAGGGGAATATAAACATAAATCATATAGAAATATTTTGTTATGTTCGTAATGCATGAAAAGTAGTATTCACTGAAATAAATGTCAATGCTTGTTAATGTAGACTTGTTTTGTCTAAACTGTTTATAAATATTAACAATATCAAAAATACAAATATAAAGCGGGCTAATAATAATAATAAATAATTTGTTGGCTTATTTGTCATTCACTGTATAATTAACGATAGTTAGCGTCATGGCTAATTATTATTTCAGAACATGGATAAGTAAAAAATGTATGTATATTGATGTTATTCACAGTATACAAGTTCACGGTAACAATAATTTGTAGTTTATTGACACATTTCGAACGCGGAAATATAAGTAGATGGGAAATTCTTTTATTAGATACTTCCTCTCTAAATCTGATCTGATCAAGTAAAAACGAAGATATTTTTCTGTTCAACGAATAATATAATATAAATATTGCAGATACAAATATTTTCCATAAACTATTACACACATTTCCAGAAATCAAATGCATTGTTTAAATCGGTTCAGATTTAGGTGCAACTCCCATATACATATATTTTCGGCCGATTTTATGTAATTTTTGCACAAAATAGACAACGTCTGTTGGATTAAGACGAAACTTGGAGTACCGGAGGAGTAATGGCGCTCATAAATTTACCCGTAACCATTTTTATACCCTTCACTGTGGTACAGAGCATTATGTCTTTGTTCATATGATTGTAACAGGCAAAATGCAACATATAGACCTGTTAAGAATATGCATAGAATCACTTTGTAAGTCGATTTATTCACGTCCATTTGTCTGCCCATGTTTAATTGTAAACAAAGTACAGGTCGCATTTTTTAGTGCACTAGAAACCCAAAATTATTCGATTGGCATAACATTTTGCTTAACATAATGAAATGCGTATAAACTATATGCCAACATTGTTTTTTAATAAATTTATTCAGTGATCGTTGTTGTTTTTTGTGTATACCTACACAAATAATTGAATGCAATTCGAATCTAGGTTTCAACTTCACTGATGAAACATTTGTATACTCATTTGCTGTAGAGTTTAAGTTTCTTTATGTGTTTTATCCTGTTTTATTCGATTTGCACCAAATTTGGCATAACGTACTGAATTGATCTTAGAGTGATGTTTGCCAAGTTTAGAGAAAATCGGTCCAGATTTAGATATAGCTCCCATGTATAGTTTCGTCCGATTTAATGTAAATGGTGCACCAAATTCCCTAAATAGCTTTCGATTGCTACGAAATTTGGC